CAATTTTATAAATTTCGCAAATTTTTATAAGAATTTATTAAAATTGATCGAAAACGTAAAAATTTATCTATTTGTACCAGAGCATATTTTTGATAGTAAATAATTATCCCTATGATATAATTATGTTTACATATATTAAGTATACATATTTGACAAAAATTTTTAAATAATGTCATATATTTCGCGGAACAAATTTGCTTGTTTCTTGTCAGCAGTCTTTCGTCTTGAAGAATTTTCTTGTCGTTTTGTCTTTTAATCAATATATATAATTTAATTGTCTTATTAGCGTAATATATATTCTTAGCTCGATCAATTTTAAAATAAAATAATATATTACAAGCATCATATAATAAATTAGACCATTTAAAACAACATATGCTATAAATTTATCGATTGTATGATATATTTTGTATTGTTCATACTTCATTACTAATCCTTCCGTTATATCGTCTATTGTAATGTTTATCATATAATATTTTTCTATTACACTTATATTTTTAAGAGTATTGTGATGCAATTTGTTTCTATCATTGCCAACTTTCTTGTCAGATGTTATCCTAATTGAACTGCTTTTTCGACTTGCAATTACAATAGAAAGGACTAACATAACATATATGAGTTTTGTCATCCTAAAAAATATAAAGAAACATGATACACATTATAAAATAAACATATAATATAAATATAATTGAGTGGCAAATATTAATTTTATAACAAATTATAACTTTAGACAAGAATTTTATTTTGATTATTTTTCACGTGCTAATAAAGTGATTTAATATAATACTTTCGTGATGTTACATAATATATTTAAAAAATATTAATGCATGGATATTTTTAAATAATTTATTTTGATCGTAAAGATTAAAAGGTAGAACAAATAGTCAACAATTTTATCTCATGCATTTGTTTAGTTAAAATTGATTATGTTACTTATAGTTGCCGACTTAAAAATATTAATATAATTATATATTTTGTATTTATATAAATATCTCTTACCTGTGTGAAGATAATTGTATATAATTACGTCAAATACAAGCTTTCAATTAAAAAATAAAAATATTAGAATATCTTTTGTAAATATACAGGCACTAGAACGAAATGACTCTCAAAGAAGATTTTGTAGAATATTTTAGAAGATCTTGATCTGGCAGATAGAAGAAACTCGGCGATTAGAATAAATATGTATGTTAATATAGGAAGGAAATTGAGATTAGCAAAATTTTACGATGTTGATTGCTTGAAACGAAAAGTTTATTAAAAGGACATCAAAGAATAATATAATTTTCTTTTTAAGGTCACATGATTTGTTGTTTACATATTTCATGTCGTAAATTATATCAATTTAAATACAGAATCGAGAGAAGCTAGAGCAAAAGCTCTTTTATGTGTGCCCATCTTAAATAATATTATCCAATTAATAGTATATAATTATACACACACATGTGTGGAACTATACACGTATACAAAAATAATGATAATCACAATATGTAATAATAATTAGTATATAGTAATACATTTCATAAACCAGTATGAAAAAGAGAATTGTTATACATGATGAAATGCGTATAATTATACGTATCTTTGTATTGTAAATATTATGGCGTATCATCATAATTTTATTGCATCTGATATGCATTAAAACACGCATGGAAAAAAATTTATTAGATTTATAGAACAAATCTTTAACATAATTAGAAAATACTAACAATCATTTCTTGATTATAGATCTATACAAAAAATTGTAACAAGTATAAATGCAAAATAAATATCAAATATATAAACAAATGTATAAATAACGAAATAGAACGCATAAACGCATCATTTAGTCTTGCTGCGTTCGCGAGTGACAAGATGCTGAAGACAATTTCTCATGTTTTCGTTTCTGACGAAATTCAGACAAGGACATTCGTTTACCATCCTGACCACCGGTTTCAAATTCGGTGTCTATCTCATCCTCTATATCGAACACGTTAGTTTCATTCCGTGCAGATTGCAACATTATCATTCTTTCTTTCTGTTTTCTTTTATTTCTCGTTCGAGCCTTCGTTTGACGTACGTTATTTTTTTTGTTCTCGGATTTGATGGGATCATCAACATACGTTACCCATTTTTGCGAAACTCTGTTCGAGCGTCCTCGAATGCATATCATTCCTGGTGGAACTGGAAGACTTTCAAATTTCGGAGGGATATCAGGAAATTTGCGTTGAAACTCCGAGTCGTACTCTTTGACTGGTACTCGCGCGGAGGACGGTGCTAAATATTGAGATATCTCCTTGCGATTTTTTTTGACAAACTCCTCCCAAAGTAAATCGCTCAATGAGAAGTATCCCGAAGGATATATGTTATTCCAATAAATCCCTAACGAACTTTGCGAATTTTTTTCTGCGTAACCTTTAGGATAGTATGTTTTCACGTTGTTCGTACGATCTAAAATTGCAATATATCTCAATGAGTAAATTCGCAAAAGAATATTATTACAATAGCAAAATATAATTAAAGTATATATAAATTAAAGTATAATTAAAGTATAATTAAAATATAAATAAATTTATATTTTACGTAATCATTAATTGATTATAGATAAAATATGATGTTTGTAAAACAATCACATAAAAGTAAGACAAATAATTTCAACGGCGAGAGAATTAGAATAAGTATACTGATAAGAGACGCGCTATCAAAAAAATAAAATTGAAATTCGAAAGAAATATTTATTAAATAAGCAATTAACAAAAATCCGGATTATTATTTCCAGCAAAAATCTTATATTTTACTTCTGATACATACTGACAAGTATTATTTCATCTTCATCCGTCTCCTCTGGATACCATACTTCCGACGATGGTATATTCACCGGCAGCAACTTATCACGCTGCACGATATTATTTCTTTTAGAAACTAAATTAAATCTTCTAGACGAACGTATAATCGGTGAGTGGTACAGAGGAGATTCATATGTGATCGGTGCGTCTCGAATTTTTTCCGGCGTACACGGATCGTCGAATAAATTTATGCAAGCATCGTCGCCTTCGATAGAATCTTCTGGATTTGTTAAAGCTTCATCGATTGACTCTTCC